TTTTTTACTTTCGAAAAATCGATGAAATCGAATTTTTCGAAAGTGTACACGCTTGGCAACGAAACCTATATCTCGGCAACGGAGCGTCGTACAGCGTCGCCGTTGGTACCGATGGAATCAGCGTCGAAAAAGAAACGTTTTAATTTTTTGTCTGTTCTCCGTCTCTGTTTTCTGTTTTCTGTTCTCCGTCTCTGTTTTCTGTTCTCTGTTCTCTGTCGACGCTCCATAAAAACGCAAATAACTTCCGAACGATTTGAGTGAGGAAGCTGAAGTTTTGCTCCTTTTAGACTGGCCACGAGACACATAAGCTCATAGGAAATGATTGCGATTGGAAATTGGCATGTGTCTTTTTTTTTGCAATTTTCGTCTGTTTTTGGTATATCGTTATGACAACACGATGTGTCCGAGATTTGCAGTTATCGATTTTAAAATTGACATAAATATAGAGTTTAGTGCCATAACGGAACCTATTGAAATTTGGGGGCTGGGGGGTTGGGAAGTATTTTTAAAAATTTAAAAACTGCACATGCAGGGTATCGAGAAAAAAATCATTTCTCAAAAACGTTATACGCGATCGAAAAAATTCTTAAACCAGAAGAAGCGCGAGATCCTGGCCAAAATCATTTATTCTTGATGATTTTGTAAAAATGTACAAGGTGCGCAGGCAAATTGTAAAAAACTGAAAATTGGGTTTTATAAGGATAATTGACCATAACAAGAAGGCTGTGTTTCAGCTGCCATTTTCTTTCACGCGATCATATAGTCCGTATGGACTGCTAAAACATTTGTATTTTAGGTTTTCACATATTGTACAGGGTGTTCGGAATATTCTGTACCATATTAAAAAATGTAATATATGTCTTAAATTTGTAACTATCGACTTCAAATTTAGCAGAGAAGTGAAGGCCCACACCCCCATCTAAACCGTAAAAACTAGTAGCAATCAAGACTGGCTTAGTATTTTTTTAAAATTTTTGTTTTTGTTATTTTCTGTTATAGAAAAAACAAAATTTCTGGAAAACTATTAACTTGATCGGCAAAATTATTTTATCAGGGGACACGGAAGGTTCGGTATTGTAACTTATATTTCAAGCATTTTTTCAATTATCTACAGGGTTTTTCAATTACAGCCAAAAATCTAAAAGACCCTGAAAATTGTTTTTTTTTTCAAAGTACATTATGAACCGTAAATTAAAATTCCCAAAAAATATGGCCGATTGGTTTAAATTGTTTAAATCAAGAGCCACAATTTTTGTGTTTACGATTTTCGTCGATCACATACACGAGATATTTGAAAAAATCCAAATGCATATCACCGTTTATCGCCTTCAATTTCGACGTGATGACGTCATTTACTATTACGACGTACTTCAGAAAACAAGTAGTTTTTCCAAAACCATTTGCTCTATCGGAATTCAGATGGGATACTTTTAGTTAACCAGTATAGTAGACTGTGTCGGGAGAAAGTTTCAGGTTTCATCATACAGGGTTCGCGAAAATTAAAAAAAGTCGCAATTATTATTTGTAAAAATTTTAATATTTGCCAAACTTTGATGTAACTTTGAAGTTCGGCGAGATGTGAAAGACACTTTATACAAGCTGTATGCACAATACAATTACATCAATTTTGCGAAAGTTCCATAGTGGTCCGCAGGAGCACGAAAGAAAAACAATGCTTCCCTCTAGGACACAAAGCCTTAAAAATACCAAGCTGCGCAGTGACTTTCTTTTAGAGTGCTTTTAAAGGTATGAAAAAAGGTATAACCATTTCTCTGACAATCTAAAACCAAATATATCAAAGAAAGTATTGCTATTTAGGTTATTTAAGCTACGTATCACGTTGGTATATTTTATTTTGGATAGGTATATGGATTAAATTCAATACGTGGTTGGCGACCGACAACTGTGGCCTTAGTTGGTTTCCGTGAGACGACGCTGGCTGCCGCGACAAACAAGACAAGACGCGCCCCTGAGCCACGAGTTATATCAAGAGTTTTCGTTGTCAAAATATAATACCGCCCATAATTCAATAATCTAATGGGGATCATTACGTACAAAGACAGCGTAAGTGCGGCATAATTGTAAGTAATTGGGGTTGACTTTGGAATATAATGGAACAGAACTAAATCTCGGGGCGTCTGAGGACGCCATCTTAACGTATCTCCAAATTGTAAGGATTAGTTATCCCCTGCTGCGGCCATCTATTATTCTTTTTGCATCGCTTAAAGAATTTTTTCTTAACTTTGGCGTCAATTTTCGTACCTCTTGCTGGTATTATCTGTTCATAGATATAAGAAAGTGATCAATTGCTTTTGAATGGGATTATCCAAGGGAGGTCATTAACATACAATGCAACAAGATTATTACCTAAAGTTTCCGAATTTACATTCAGGTAAAATTGTGGTCCGTAATAGAAAATAATTTTATACCTATCTGTGTTCTTTGGTTTTGTATACTACTTGGTTTAAGTTTATTAGTAATCATTCTTATTTCGTGTGTAATACAACGTGTGTTAAATGTGACCTTATGGAAGTGTATTCAACACATGGATTTTAGATTTAAAAAAATTGACAAAAGGCAAGTTTTAATGGAATATTTTAGAATTCGGAAATGGCAACTGGAATATCTAGAAAAAAATAGGATTTACAGAGAACAACAAAGGCCAATTATTTACTTGGATGAAACTTGGTTCGACACTTATGATGCCCCGGAAAAGGGTTTTGTTGACTCGACTGATAAGTTTAAAACAAACGCTCCATCAAAAAGAGGTAAAAGAATAGCTATTTTGCACGCTGGCTCTAAAGATGGTTGGATTCCCAATGGACTTTCTCTGTCTGCGAAAAATATTAAAGATTCTTCTCTGGATTACCATGAAGACACTACCGCCGATTTATTTGAAAGTTGGTTTAAAAACAAACTAGTTCCAAACATTCCTCCTAATAGCGTCATTGTAATGGACAATGCAAGTTATCACGGAAGACAGTTGACTGAAACCCCTTGCTCATGTGACACAAAACGACAATGCAAAACTACATGTATAATAACGACATTTATTTTCACGAAGATTATACCAAAAAGCAATTAATTGAGGTTCTACAAAGCTTGAACCTACAAAAGGAATACGTCTGTCATAATTATGCCACCTTACCACTGTATATTTAATCCCATTGAACGTGTTTGGCACCAACTTAAATCTGCCATTCGTCGTAACAATGTTTTTCCCCGTGTTAACTCCAATATCCTCAAACTTATAGAAACCGAAGTTTTTAAAATCTCTCCACAAAGTTGGGCAAATTCTGTTAAACATATAGAAAAAGCAGGACAATCGTATATCCATATTGCAAATAATATAGAACAAATAATAATTAGAACAGGCGATGATAGCGATAGTGATACTGATATATTATGTGAATAATTTTAAGTAATTTAAGTAGGTAATAAAAATAATTTGTAATTTTATTTTAGATTTAAACATAAATAAATAAATATTGTTTAGTATCTTGCCTAACAACACCCCAAATAATTAAATTCTAAGTAAAGTACGGACCTGTTCGGCCATATTTCATTCTTACAGCTTGCCCGGGTTTTTCCTTAATTCGTATCAGTTAGTCACTTTCTTATATCTATGAACAGACTTTACCACGAAAATAATCGATATAGAGAGACTCACAGTTTAAATGATGCGGTCGCTATATCAAAAACAAATTGGTCACTTATTTGGCAAAAACAACTTATTATTGAAATTAAGTTATTAAAGAGCCTTTCAAAAAAGTGTGAATTACGTTTTGTCTTAAATGTGCCTTACTTAGTTAACAATAAAGAATTAATGAAATTATATGCAATATTAACATCACAAAATAATAACCGGGATGAAAACTTATCAGTTTATAGCAATTGTTTTTTGTTTAGTTTGACGTTTTAAAACACGTTTTCGTTCAGAAAAAACATTTTTTTTAATAGGTCGTCGGACTACAATTTCTGAGAGAAATTTAATTATTACTCACCACAGAAATGGATACAGCCAAAGGAACATGGCCAACATGGTAAAATAAATGTCCGTCAACTCTTCAGCATATCATTGAGCGTTACTGTAATGAAAATAGTCAAGGTTAGCTCCAAATAGGATCTTCAATGAACGTGAGGAAAGATGGATTGTAAGAGAGGTATCGAATTATCCAAAAAAAGTACTCCAAAGAGGTGTGTCTACGTGGAAAGCCAGTTTGGAAAAACAATTCGGCTACTCCAGCCAAAAAATAATTTACATGGTCGAACTGTTAGAACTAAGCCTTTCATTAACCGAAGAAATAGACGCGTGAGATTGGCATTCGCTAAAGAGCATATCGATAAAGTTTTGAATTTCTGGAATTCAGCAATATTTGACAATGAGACCAAAATAAACTTATTTGCACTTGATGGAAAAATCTCAATATGGAGAAAGCCTAAGGAAGAGTTAAAATTAAAAAGTTTTAAAGCTACGGTAAAGCACGGTGGTGATGGAGTTATCGGGATGTATGCCATCTGCCGGAGTAGGTAATATGCATTTAATTGCGACTGCATCTGCTAGTGCCCGAAAATTAAATATGGGTAACAATTATCGGTTCTATCATGACAATGATCCAAGCACACATCATTTCGGGTCCGCAGTTGGTTACTTTATACCTGTTCAAATATTATTATGACACCAGCCCAGTCACCAGACTGAAATGTAATTGAAAATTTGTGGTTGCCATTAAAAAGCAAAGTAATTAGTGCCCCAATATCTAACAAGAATGAATTAAAATTTAAAATTACTGAAGTATGGAACACAATTTCCCCGGAGTATACCAGAATCAGTACCCAGAAGACAACAAGCAGTTATACAGTTCTTTTTATTTAAGCTGTGACGTTAATATTGTATATTATGTTATGTAAACTAAGGAAGGCATATTTAAGACAAAAAGTAATTCACACTTTTTTGGAAGGCTCTTTATTAACTTAATTCCAATAAGTTGTTTTTTTTCCAAATAAATAAAGATACATCATTTAAGCTGTGAGTCACTGTATCAAAGGACATTTTACTAAACTATCGTCCTCCAAAGACATCGTTGGACAAACACGAAGTAAATCAAGTTTAAGTAAATCGATTGACTCGAATCGAGGATACTAATCCCTGCGCTGGATCTCGCAAATAATTTCAGGACTTTGGACATGAACCATCTGAATCCCTTGCGGCCTGCTTTAGTTACGTTCCGTGTGCCGTGTAGTTTAATGACGGACACTGCCTCGTTCACCACGCATTCGTTTCGCGTGTCGTCGTAGACGTATCCCCACTGACAAATACACCTGTGCGACAAAAACACTGATATTGTTCTTTAAATGATTAAAATATAGCCCAGTACAGTAAGGGTCCTATTTTAGGTACCCCTGAGGAGTATCTCCTTTATTTTTCTACATATAAAGTTGCGGTTACATTTTTCGAAACTAAAGATGCCGTCAGAAATTTTTAGTTCAGGGCAAACAGTTATCGGACCCAACGAACAGACACAGACACACTGAAGTCTAAGATCCGTGGCGGAAACCACCTTTATATTTAGGGATAGAGAGAAATTTGTTTAATTTCATGTGTGTATTCGATATTGATAATAACATTAATAAATAATAACTATGACCCCAATTTCCTGCAATTAAAAGTCAGTAAAGAAAAAGACTTAGACTTTTCTGAAAATGATTTGTGTGAATATAATACGTCCTTTACAACAGAAAATCAAAACAAAGCACAAAATTTATCATTACATGCCAAAAAGCACTGCATGAAATGTACAAGACATTCTGGAAATAAGCAATAGTGATTCCCACCCCAAAATTAGTTAAAAATAAATTAAAATCTTCAAGCTTGCGACCAATTAGCTTAACCTGCTGTATGGGAAAACTACTTGAAAGAATGGTGAACAACAGTCTTCAGAACTACCTTGAGAGTAACAGGATATAGAAAGAATCGGTGGACAATCGATCATCTGGAACTGCTTGAACATCATATACAGGAAGCTTTCAGAAAAGGAGAGCACTTGGTATCAGTATTTTTTTCATGCTGCCAACATGACGTGGCGTTTCGCAGTACTAGAAAAACTCAAAAAACTAGATCTAACAGGCATGCTTCCTTTATGTATTAAGTCGTTTCTTTCAAACAGAAGATTTAAGTTAGTGATACATACTCTACAGTGAGTACTGGAGAATGGCGTTTCACAAGGATCAACACTTAATACATTATTACAATTGCAATAAATATAGCAATATAGCAGTCTTCTGCAGTGATAAAAAATTGGCGTCGCAACAAAAGCGCTACAGTCAGCTATTAATGTAGTAATGCGAAATAGCAGACATATCTGGTAAAAGCAAATTAAGAAACTCTCCACAGAGTGTAAACAACCACTAAACCTGAAACTTTTAGCACACACAAAATGGGGAGCTGATCCGAAAGGTTATCTTCAAATCTACAAAGATCCCATTCTGTCAAAAATTGATTATGGCTGTATAGTTCATTCATCTGCGAGAAAAAGCTTGTTAGAACAATGAATTCCGGGTCTCTGATATATATCCCCACTCTAGTTGAAGAACGTCCTTTAGCAGTGTTGTTACCAAGAAGAAAATTCAGAAAATTGGTTAACAAAAAAATCCTCAAGACTGGCAAAACATCGGGATTGGATGTAACATCTTGCTTGAAAAGGCAATACCAGAAGTAACGGCAAAGTATTGGAAGATTGGAAGCAGTGAGAGCTTTTAGAGTATCTACATGACACACAACCCTTACCCACAAACATCTGCTTAACGGTAAACCTCCTCCTAAGGTGTGATGTGTGAGGTAAATTTGACCGTCGTTCAATGGATGGTTTGCAAAGACAACAACATAAAATGAAACCGATCTTTGAAGACGAGACAAGACAATATATAGGAAATTCTATGATTAGACGAGGGACATATGTGTGAATCCAGTAGAGATTGACAGCTAAAGATCCTAGCACCCGATGTTGTACATTGGAGGAGTTTTAGTGGGTAAACCTGGATAGCACAACTCACCAGGGAGTCTCACACTCCCCTGCGCTTGCCACACAGGGCGTCCGAAAAGAATTTCACCTCCAATTTCCTCAAAAAAAAAATAAATAAAATAATAATAATATGCTTAGTCAGCCGGCAATGAAAATTATGAATTAGAAATAATACATCCCATTCAATATCCACAAGATAAATAAATGAAAATTCTCATTAAAACTCTTAAGTTGTGCGGCTTCACATTTCATAAAGTTTATAACATAAATATATTGCAGAAAGGAATTTCTACATAATTTGTATAAAATACAAAATCTAACCTATATATCTTTTTAATTTGTTATTAGGAAAATAATTTAGACGTTTTGTAGAAAACTAACCAAAAAAAACTACATCTGCCGTAAGGCCCTAGTATATAGTGCCTCAGTGCCCTGTACATTTTTGAGGACACTTTAATGTGAGTAGCAGGAGAGAATAATAGAGACACTCATTATGAACTTGGATTTTTGATATTTATTAAAAATGAAAACTGTGCAATCAATTTTAGGGGAATATTCGATGTTATGATAAACAATGAAGGTATAAAAAGGGCAGATAAATTTTCTGAGTTGTATAATCAAAGAAAACTTGTCGCTCTGTGAATATTTTAACAACAAAATACAAAAGAACTACATAATTAAATATAGAAAGTTCCATTTTTAAAAGACACTCCCATAGGCTACTGTAATACTATTTACAAAAACCAGTTTCAGTTCAATTCTGAAGACGCCAACAGGATGATTGGCGAAACGTCAGCAATTCTCATTCATAAACAACCGACGCAGGACTAATTCAGATTTGCAAATAATTGGAAAGAAAAAAAAAACTAACTAATCTACTACCTAACCACCTTTGAAGAAGGTTATTATAAAAAAATTCCATTTAGGGCTAGAGTCACTTGGGGACGATCTTATAAGCAGCATTATATTGGGCAAATAGAATATTTTCCAGTAGTTCTGGGATAACTTCCTCAATGGTTCCCACGTGTCTACGTGCTGTCAGACATTCAAAAATCATATAAACTATGTTTGCACAAAATAATACATGACAGCTCAACTTCAAAGCGTCCTTGTTGTGCTCTTTTAAACATTAAAGTGTGGTTCTGTAATTAATTTGACGTTTTTGTTTGTTTTGTTCTGTAGATTCGATGCATTTTTCATGTAAGTTATTTTTTCGTTTTTTTTTAACTGTAAATCGGCGCAAGGCGTTAGTTTTCATAAACTCATAGATATAACCTCTATTAAACTAACTTTGAGATGCTAGATATTGCACAAGAAACGTCTAAGTGGAAAAAATGTCGAAGAAGCACCTCCTACAGACAGTAGTACTTCTTATGCTTGATGCCTGATAGGACAAACAACGTTCAATTCTGGATTCAGAAACATTTTTTTAAATTATCAATCCTTTTCTTAGTAGGTATCTAGTGTCGAATAAATAATGAAATAAATAACAAATAAATATACGCTTATTTACGACCTTACATTAGGCTGATCTTTACAAAATACAATTTTCAATACGAGTATGAATTAAATGAACACATTCATTTTATGGATCAAAGATTTGTGGTGTGTGAAGGGGTGACAGTGTGGTCCAATTTCATTATTATTTTTTAATTTTCATGATAAGATTTCATAAATAAAGCTGTTGAATTATGTTAGAGTAGAGAAAATTCTTTTTCTACTCCCGTCTGATTCTCACTACGCCAGTTCTTGATAATGTAACGATTAAAAATGCTCGCACCTGAGAAAAAGTATTCGCCAAATTTTTACCATTGTCAGTCAGGTCTGACCAGATAACACGCCTGCCAAATAAATCATTTACATCGATTTGTTGCAAATACCACTGGACCAGGATGCAAATGTCATATTAAATTTTTCTACATGACGACGAAGGTGTTGCTTCAACATATCCTAAAACATCTTTCTTTTTTCTTTCCTTCTTACTTTCGTGGAACTAACCGAAACTACCCAAAAAAACTGAAATAAACTGCTTTAAGTCGAACTAAAGTCGCTGAGAATATTTGACAATGGTTTTTGTTTGTTGGCAAGAACAATAGCCATAGCATACTATTCAATTATGCATTTAATTTTTGAACATTGTCATTTATTTACTTGTTTCGTGAAAAAAGTGCAAGTTATTATATATTTTTCAAGAAGAAAAGAAAAAAAATTGTAATCTATAGATATTAAATTAAAAAAAATTAAGTAGGGTCCGATAACTTTTTGATTTGGCCCTGTATACTAATTCCAAAGACAGTATGAGTTGTACGCGAAAACTTTTATAAGAAATAGTTTTAAAATTTTCGGTGAGTTGTCTGATAGTTGAGATACAAGGGGTACCTGAAAATGGCCGCCAGACGCGTAATTGCCATCATGAGTTGAAAAAAACTTTTTTTTTCTCACTAACAAATTCTTTGATCGAATTATTGTTTTAATTTTTGCACAATCGTCAGGGACAAAGCATCCGCTTTTTTGGTGGATTATGTCAAATAAATAGAAGAAGATACTCCTAGTCATACTAATATGAATAGCTGATACGACGGTACCTTTAGATTTCGGGAAATACTATACCTATAGCTACCAGGCAAGTTTAAGCATCCTTCTCCTTCCCCGGTGCAAAAGTTCCCGTCTTCTAATGCGCATTCGTCTATATCGACACAAATTCCATAGCGGGAACTCCATTCGTATCCGGCCTTTGGACATTTGCAGGAGACATTCCAACGATTCAGGATTATATCTCTGCAAATTAAATTCGAAATATATTAAGGACCATAACTTCGAGGCCGGAAAAGATATTAACTAGTTGCGGTAATTGCAGATGATGTGGAGATTAACAGTTCATAAAAGTTCATAAAACATTATCCTCATCTTTTAAGCCTTGTAAACCAAAACAAAAAGCATATGACAATTTAAATACATATATAATAAAATTTAATATTTTAACTAATAGAACAATATGGTATAGAATTGTACGTTTTAGATGCCTGATAGGAAAAACAACGTTAATTTCTGGATTTCGAAACATTTTTTTATATAATCAATCTTATTCTTCGTAGGTCTCTAGGGTTGATGCGTGGACTATACACTCAAATTTGGAAAGCACAAATATTTTTCGTTACCAAATAAATAATAAAATAAGTAACAAATTATTTAGACTAAACTTTACAAAATACAATTTTAAATATGAGTATGAATTGAATCAAAATATTCATTTCACATATTTGTTTATCAAAGATTTGTGGTGTGTGAAGGGACGACAGGATGGTTCAATTTGAATTTTGTTTTTTTTTTTAATATTCATGATAACATTTTGTTAGAGTAGAGCATATTCTGTTTCTACTCCCGCCTGTAAAATACCTAACTACACACCGATCTAGCGTGCGTCGCCTTACCACGTCAGTTTTGTTTCTCACGGATGCGAGCCACTTCGGACATTTCCGAGATTTTACCGCACGGGTTTGGGAGCAGTCGTATGTTTTCGGACATATATCCCATGCTTTGAATTTTGACGTTTGTTAATTCTGACGGTCATGTCAGTGAATGTATTCGTGTTGTTTTGCGAAAATATACCGAAAAACTAACTGTTGTAGAAAAAGTATAGTTTGCAACACGTTGGGTAAAATTTTTAAGCCACTCGTTTATTAAACACTCGCTGCGCTGCACTCCGCTCGTGTGAAATAAACTCGTTTACCGCACTTGTTGCATAATATATTATTTTTTACTCCCTTCTGTAAAATACCTAATTATACACCGATCGAGCATGCAGAAAGTGTTACTTTACCAAGTGAGTTTGTTGTCCACGAATCCGCGCCACTTCGGACATTGCCAAGAAATTACCTCACGGGTTTGGGAGCAAGCGGATGTTTTAGGGGATTTTACCACACGGCTTGAATTTTAACGCTTGCCAATTCTAACGTTCATGTCAGTGAATGTGTTCTAACCAAAACTAACGGTAGTAGAAGAAATATAGTATGCAACGGTAAACTTTTTAAGTCACTCGTTTATTAAACTCTCGCTCCGCTGCACTCCGCTCGTGTCAAACAAACTCGTGAGTCAAATGCCATTTACCGCGCTTGTTGTATAATATACTACTACCGCATCTGTTGCATAGTACACTATTTCATAAATAATACGTCTAAGGAACTTATATAACAATTGCTTATTCCCCCACACCTCAACCATCTCTGCCATAACTAAACTGTGATTCAATCAGCCAAAAATAAAGTATACTTAAGTGTCCAATATTAGATACTAATTCTAATATTTTAATTGATACAGTTTTTTATATTTACGTCCAATGAGTATATATTTTGTTCAAACTAGTTAGCTATTTGTTTTGACCTGTTTCTTTCAGGTAAACTTAAAAGCATGAAATGTGGTAGCGTCATCTGCATTATGACTTCTTTTCCAAGAATATCATTTCAAAAGGGACCCGAAAACCGTTCTTGGGGAACGCCGCAGTTTGCGTTTGATATTCACTTGACGTACTGCTTAACTGCAATAACTGCAATAACTGCTTGGAATTGGAAACAACACTTAGGCTACCACGAAGTTTTAGTTGATTGACGGTTCATGGTATAAAATGACATTATAGCAGTTTATACCTAATATATAATTGAAATATTTGCGTTATCACCATTAACCATTCTTCCTAGTAACAAAAATGACAAGATTTGGTACTTGATTTTTAACAAGGTTTCACTATTAATTCGACCAATTGCCTGCCCTGATGAATTTGAGTCTCATTACAATATTGACCATACTCAATTTATGAGTGTAATGTAGTCAAAAATACGGTCTAAAAATTGAAGCTTATGGAATAACGACATTAAGGATCTTTGGTAAGATAATCTTTACATAGTTTTAAGGGCATGTCAAAGATGTTGTACCGTAGCGAATGGAAAATAAATTCACCTACATCAAAACCTACTTTTTGGAACTTTTATTTTTGTTTGACCAAACATAAATACGTCACACATGGTTGAAAAGCATTTTTAAAGAGGACACAGCAAAGGTAGACTTAGGCCGTACGCAACATAGTAGGCCTAAATTTTTTTGACACCATTTTTAGCATCGCCGTATCCTTTTACCTATATCCTGCATCTAAGCAAGGGTATCGATTTAAAATAAAACAAAGCTTCATTATTTTTTTGGATGAAAATAACTACTTTTCTTTTATTTAAGCGACGCTCCACCCATTACAATTTCCAATATCTGTCTGCCAAGCTTGCATAAAGGCCCGCTTGAAAATGAAAAAGCCTTATTCTAATTACCCACTGCATAATATATCAAATTGAATTTTATGAACAGGTTTAGTTTTGAACAAATTCCCATTAGCTTGCGCTTTTGGCCGCCGTTTGAAGTGGCTGTCGCCCGAAATTGTTGTTGCAAGCAACCCGGGGATCGATTCGACTTGTCTCTAATATGTTTTCTGCGCCTTTATAAAATTCCATACGTAATCATCGTTTGATGAAACTTTATTGGCAATTTCTCCGAGCTCATAGAGTCGGTAATGCAAGGAGTCTGTTTTAAGCCCGACGGTATTGCTTTTCAAGGCGACGCAACTTTTGACGGCGGCGTCTATAGCTTCCAGGTATTAAATTAGTCTCCCTTTTGGGTGGATACTGAGAGTTCCAAAGGAAACAAACTATTTTATAATCAGCCGGAAGAGGTACGTTGTGATATTCAAAGGTCTGATGAAATTGTTTGTCTATTTCAGATATCTTTACGGGCCATTTTCTGATTACAATCTAGTTTACATGCGCACTAGTCCCATTTTGGTCGCAACCCAATGGTAGGGGAAGGTGGAGGAAATGTAAAACATTAATATTTATTTGAGATCAATCAAGGTCTATTGAATTTTAGTCCAAAACAAAAACATATATGTCCGTAATTACACTTAGCTCTAGGGGTGAATACGGATCAGGGCTGGGTTAATTGCGGACAACATGTGGTATTTACGGATGAGGTCCCATTTTATTTGCAGAATTCACAAACGGTAGCCTCTTGACGAAAACCCAACACTGCAATTCTCATGTGCCTAATTCTTACATTTGGAACATTGGGTGGATCACAATACTTTACCTGGCAATAATATTCAGAAATATTTCTTTCTATTTTCTTTTGTTTTTTTTCCAGTTTTTCTTTTTTCGGTAGGCTGGTGAAAATAATGGAAGGTTTTTTTTTAACTAATCGTTTTCTACGAGTAGGTTTTTGAGTTGGTATTTGTACTTCATCACTAAGAGAGATGACAAGTTTACTTTTTATACTTTTATACTTATACTTTTTTCCATTTAAATTAATAATTGAAAGTTAGCCTCACTACTGGGAAGTTGTAATATTTTCTGAGATTCTATTGGATTAGAAATATCATCATTGGAACCTCACAGACAACTTGAGATTCATTCTGGGACTTACTTTGGCTTGAATTATTGGTGTCTGTTTGCACCCGTTGTTCAACAGGAGAGACTGGTGCACTAAAATTTTCAAAAGTGTTTTTTAATTTATCAGCAAACTTAAAGCTTTTTGATAAAGACACGGTGTTGTCGAAACAATTGTCATGTGAAAATATATAATTTCGTGAAAATCTGAACTTTTAGTTCTTATTTATTTTGTTAAATGCATTTTCATTAAGTAAAAGTTCAATTTTTAACATTAGCTCGTCATTACGTGAGTATATTGCAATCTTTTTTAAAATTCCATTTGACATCTTTAAAACTTCCGCAGCCTCAGATCTGGAAAATTGGATTACATCAGCGTATCGATACATGTTACACTGCTCAATGTAATATTAGAAGTGAAGATAAGAAAGAACAAAGGTCCCAGAAGAGAACCTAAAAGTACACCTCTATCCAACACTAATGCCCCCGATCTCCTATTTTCAATTTCTAATATCTGTGATCTGTTTTCTAAGTAATTACGAAATCATCTGATTTTTTTGGGTTTAAATTCTTAAGTTTTGCATACAAAAAGAGTGACTAAAGGTGACCAAAGCCTTACTATAGTACAATAATACTAAAGCTGTCCATTGTCCCTTATCGGCAGCCAGCAGAATACTCTGAGAACCTTCTGAACTGTTGCGGTGCTAACCCCTTACGCAATCCACACTTACATTTTGACATTTCAAATACTTTTGAAATTGTTGACAATAAACTAATGGGTCTAAGATCAGATACATTCTTTCGAGCTAATGTTAAAACTATTACAACCTTCCATAGCGCAGGAAATACTCCTTTCTCATTGCATGAATTAAAAAGGTGTGTTAACATGGACACGACTGTTGGACAGCACAGTCTAAGCTTCTCGAGAGATATTCAATCATTTCCTGAAGCATTGGATTTTAATTGTCTGAGAGCTCAGGCTACGAAAACTCCAATTCTTTATTTCAACTCTTTGAACCTAAATAACCCCTAAAGGTTCAAGTGGTTGGAGGATCAGAAATTAGTCTTACAGAGTCTACAAAATGCTTGTCAATTAAGTTTGGATTTCTAAGGTGACGCGGTATCTCATTGGAGTTCTTGGATCTTTTGCAAACATTTAAATGATCGTCACATGTTTTGAAGACTCCTTGCGAATAGTGAAGTGCCGCAAAAGTAAATAAGTTTCTAATTTCTTTATTATAAGCTTCCCAGCTTGCAAATTTTTGGATTTTTTGCATTTAAAAAGAAGTTGGTTGCGAAATCCAAACTGCGACTCACTTATATGTTTTTCATATCTTAAGAAAGATTTTTTTAAACTTGTAACAACATTTGGGGTTGGATTTTTTCAACTTTGTTATAAATGTAGAACCGGCCAGTCATCATCAGACGATGATGACACCCTTGAACTCTGCCTAAACAATAGAAAAATAAAAATATCGGACACAGAATTACTAACTAATAAGTGCTCCGAAGAAGGAATAAAGGATTAGAGTTGGTAGACAGCATAAAATATTAGAAGCTATAGTATCTCGATCATATAATGGGAAACTCAGAGCGGTAAAGATGGCTAGATGAATGTTGATGTGATTCGGTAAGACATCAGCAGAAGTCTTTTGAATTGCAATAAAATTAGATAGCCAATTAGAGTGGGGTCCAGATTCACTAATTAGATTATATGATCCATAAAGTAACACCCTGTATAAGGTTGTTTTTGCATGAAGCTTTTAATTAAAAACGCAACCGGCTTCCTTCTTGTTTATCTCTTCTGGATCTTCTTAAGAAAGTAAATCCATTACGCTGAGACGTTTAAAATACGTCGTGAGTATCAATAACTGGCCGCTCGACGATGACGTGGATGTTCGGATACTTACGTGAACTCCTTGTTCCTTGTCCTGTTAAAGGTGCATTCGCGCTGGTCTGGCGGACTTTCCCCGTAGCACGGATTATTTTCTAGACTGTTCCAGCAGGTCTCCGGGCTAGTTACGTGCTTGTTAGCGCAGCAGGGGTCCGGACAGAAGCTGAAACGGGAAAAAATGACGAATCTAGAACGACACCCGGCGGCTACGTCTCCGCTCTCACGTCAGCCGCCAAAACTTCTGCTTTTGATTTGTCCAATTTCCAAAGCCACCAGGCTTGTTTATTTCAGGTTGCAAGTGTGATTTCTTGTTTATCCATTTAAGCGATGCTCGAGGTGAATTAATATTAAGATTTGAGGCTGCTGTGTATTACCGTTTGTTGATGCTTCCATTGATGTGCGATCGATATTTTTAAAATTATTTATTTAAATTCAGCAAAGCATATTCAAATTTAATATTAAAATACAAAGATTGTATTTAAGATGTCAATGATAATTAATACTCGTTCATGCATTCATTCAAATTGAAAGTTTTTTAACTCCAAGTGTGCTCAGGAAAACGAAATAGCAAAAATTAAAATTCAAGCAAGCGCGACTAAAAATAAAAGTAACTAAATACTATATCAAATTAAAGCACTCAAACGACGCAAACACGGAGCGCCAGTCCCTGACACTGTTTCCAATGTTAATCTGCAAATTCATCAACTCCTGGAAAGAAGCAATTCATTCTCATTCTCAAGTCATTCCCATCCCTAAATTAAGTAAAAGTAAATTTGAACCCTCAAGCTCAAACTACTTGAGAGAATGGTGAACAACAGACTTCTAGACCTAGACCTAGACAGTAACAATTTATTTAAATATAGAAAGAAACGATCGACAATCGATCATCTCGTACTGCTTAAGCATAATATACAGCTTTAAGTAAAAGAGAGCACTTGGTATTGTTTTTTTTTATATAAAAAGAACTCTCGACGTGACGTAGCGTTTCGCAGTAGAAGGAAAACTGAAAAAACTACATCTAAAAGGTTTCCGTTAAACTGAAGTTTTAAGCTCAAAGTTGGTGATACACAATCTACATCTAGAGAACGTCGTCCCACTTACCTGTAAGTTATTTCTAATTGCAATGAATGATATATGTGGAAGTATAGCTCCAAAAATTAAAAAAAATGTATATATGTAGATGATATACCTGTCTTGTGAAGTGGTAAAAACGTTGGAGGCATAACAATAGTGCTACAATCAGCTATTAATGTAGTAATACGAAATGGACAAAAGATTGGTTTTAAATGTTTAAAAGAAAAAACTAAGTCGACTAAGAAAACTTCCAGTACTTTACTGGATACTGAATACAATAAACTTCTAGGACTTGTTTTTCATAGCAGACTTATCTGGTAAAGGCAAATTAAGAAACCAACCCCACAGAGTGCAAAAATTAGCAAAATCATCACAAAATATCCTGAAACTTTTTTACTTTTTTACTTCAAATGTACGAAACTTTCAGTTGTCAAAAATTGACTATGGCTGTTTATTCATCTGAGAGAAAGAGCTTGTTAGATCTACTAGATCGTATTCAAAATTTGGGAGTTAGATGCTGTCTGGGTGCTTTTCCAACAACATCAGTCAAGAGTCTCTACTGTAGATCTAGATTGATGTCACTAAATCTACGAAGAAAAGTAGCAATGACAAGATGTATAAGGGGTTTAAAAGCATATCCAAAAAACCCTAACAACCAATTCTTATTCTCCAGTTCATATGCAGTCGAAGAAATATTATACGTCCTAGACTTGCTATCAAGGAGAAAGCAATTGAGACAATTGGTTAACGAATAAATCCGACTCTCAAAGCATCTGCATTGGATGTTACACCTTGCTTCGAAAAACAATACCATATTTACGCAGACTAGAAGCAGTGAGAGTTTTAGAGTGTCTACATGACACACAACCCTTAACCAGAAACATCTCCTCAAAGGTGAACCTCCTCCTAATTGTGATATGTGTGAAGTAAATTTGACCATCGTTCACATAATCAATGATATCAACATAAAATAAAACCGATTTTTAAACACAACTTGAGATAGGAAGAGATCTAACACACATTGGTATATTTAAAAGACATCAAAGTATTTAATAATATATAGAAAATACTATGATTAGACGAGGGACATATGTGTGTGTATGCCATAGAGATTGACAGCTAAGGGCCCTAGCAGCCGATGTCGTATCTTGGGGGTGTTGTGGGTAAACCTGGATTGCACAATTCAAAATGAAGTCCCAGACTCCCTTGCGCTTGCCACGCAGGTTGTGCGTAAAGGATTTCACCTCCAATTCCCTCAAAAAAAAAACTAAATACTATTACATGTAAATACTATGGAACATAATATAAGTTTTTATAATGTATTATGTCAACATTTTTATTAATTGTAATCATTATTGTTAATTGTTACAAGGGTCATCCATTATAAATGTCCTCCCCCTCCCCCACCCGAGTTTTTTCTTCAGATTTTACAAAAGAAAGTTTAATATAAAAGTGGTATCTGTTGTATGTTATGCCCTTACGTGAGAGCTTTTTAAAAGTGGATCTAAAGGGTGTATTAACACATTACGGTTGCTTTTGATATTTAAAACAGAAAATGACGAAAATTTAAATGTTGGTTTTAAGGTTGGATCATTCCAAACTAGATTTAAGAAATATACGACTTTATATTATATTGGTGGGATATGTTTCGATCATTTTAACTTTTCCGGCGCAACCTGCAAAATACATAATAGTCTTACATTTCTTGCGTTATAAATACATGCGTACTTCAAAAATCTCTGCTCGTTGAGGCATACATTTTGTGGTTTTCTGATACTGACAACTAATTACGGTGTCTCCAGAATAGTTTATTAAGGACCGAGATGGAGTTTTTTAAATACCGAATAATATTTTTCTGATTTTACGCCCTTGCTGGATTTTTTATAGTAATTATTGTATTTTGTCATAAAACTTTCTTGACCGACGACTCTTTTTTTACAACAGCAGAAGTAGCCGGTAGAGAAAATTTACACTATAGGTACACAGAAAATCCATTAAAATATTTTGAAGTCAAACTTTCTGTTTGCTTGCTTGCTTGGTGTGGAACTCAAAATAATAAAATTGTAGGCCCTATATTTTATGATTGTGCATTATCAGGTTGCAGATACCAAAGGTTTATATCAGAAGATGTAGAATAGTTTATAGATAATATGCCACTGAATGAAGCTTCCGTATTTATTTGGTAATAAAATGAAATACCTCCTCATAATATTGTTATAGTAACGGACTCAACAATAAATATAGAGAATGGTTTGAAAACATGGAACAACGATATGGCCAGCTAAAAGTCCACACCTTGCGGTTCTAGACACTTCTCAGGGAGTGAGGGGGGTATATTAGATATTAAATATTAAACAGTCTAGGAAATGCGTTTCCGTTAAAAAGGTTTATTAAAGACTTCAAAACAAATAATTAAATGAAGAATGAAGAAAATTACGACTGATTGCCCACAAGGTCAAATTTTAATTCTTGGGCATTTTCTGCCTTAGATATCAAAAATAACCGTAATGTGTTATATATTTTTTAAATCAGCTTTTATAAAGGTATAATGTTCAAGGAATGCAATAATAAAAAAATATAGTTTGTTGATCCCTTTGTATACTCAAACATAACATGGACTAAAACTTTCAATTCACTACTCTACAACTTTTGTATTTTTTCTTCTAAAATTTATTATTATTATAAAAGTCTCAGAGAACTCGGTGATCGAGTTAATAAACTGCAAAACATGTTTTCTGACATGATGAAGGAAATTCAGTGTATAAACAATCGTCCTAGAACGTCGGTAAGTACTTCCTTAATTCAATCCCGGTGTCACCCACCTCTACGGATATCATACCGAACTATTATCATAACCCAATTGTCTTGACTGATTCGAAGCTGAAATTTTGTCCTATCACAGAGACTGTTGTGTCGAAATTTTTATGCAACATTAAGTCCAGAGCAGTTGGAGCAGATAGTTTACAAGTGAACTTTCTAATCTTTTGTTGTCCATTTATTCTTAAATACATCTGTCACATCGTTCATTTTTGCATCAATAATTCCGTTTTTCCTTTCGCGTGCCTCTTTCCAAAACTAAAAGTCCTACAAGTTATAGTGAATTACGCCCTATTAGCATTTTGTCTGTAATTTCCAAAACTCTGGAAAATGTCACTAAAACTCAACTGATTGAATATTTGGAGAAAAACAGTATTCTTCCTGAAACTCAGTCTGGCTTCAGGAATGGGCACAATTGTGCAACTGCTCTCCTAAAAGTCACTGATAATCTATTCCACACAATTGACAAAGCCAAATGTATCTTGATCATGTTGGATTACTCTTAGGAGTTTGATACCTTGAATCACCAAACTTTGCTAACTATTCTCAAATACATAGGGCTTGATGAGGGTGCTGTCGAATTTATGGGGAACTACTTACAAGTTCGTACACAAAGAGTGGTTCTAAATGGACAGCAATCAGTCTGCCGTGCTATAATGTCTGGGGGCCTCAAGGCTCCATTCTGGGGCCAATTTTATACTGTATATATACGTCCGCGTTTCCTAGTTTTATACAGCATTGCAAAACCCAAATGTATGTAGATGATACACAAGTTTATAACTCATTTTCGGGAGATAAAATTTTGGCAAGCTGTCAAATCATAAATAATGATCTAGAAATCATTAACAGGGTGTCCCAGAACATTCACTCCATCTAAATCCAAAAAAAATGTATAGCAATGTTCTTTGGCATGACCGTGAATGTTCATCCATTATCTCAACTAGTTGAAATAAAAATATCGAATGCGTGCATTCCTCTGAAAACAGAGGCAAAAAACTTTGGACTTATGATCGACAATAAGCTAAGATTTAATGGTCACATTACACAATGTATTAAGAAATCCATTCCTCGATTTTCCGGTGCAATTTTAGAATCGCACTGAGGAGGCTTTTACTTGATGAAAATCCATTTATCAAAACAAATAAGAACTAAAAGTTCAGATTTTCAGGAAATTATATATTTTGACATGACAATTGTTTCCACAACACCGTGTCTTTATCAAATGTAGTATTTACAAACTACCTGCTACTATACATACCGAAAATGACCATAAAACCTTAATTAATGTTGTTGGGAGAATTTAAGTTTAATAAAGGAGAGGTAATTAAATCTAATTGATCGTTAAGCAATACATTTGAATGTCTCATTTTGTTAATATCCATGGCTTCCAATAAACTTAATTTCCTACTTTTTGTGGCTGTATGTAATATATCAAAATTGTCGTCAAAAATGTGTTTTTCTGTGTTTAAGTGTGTAGCATAATTAGAATCTAGACTATTGTTTTTAAACGCTCCTTTATGTTCGTTAATGCGTTTCTTGAAGGATCTACCTGTCCAATATATATTTTAGGACAAGATCCACATTTCAACCTGTAGACACCTGATTTTTGGGATTTTGGACATTTCGATTTATTCTTTTTTAAATATTTTCCTATTGTGTTGTTAGTTCTGAAAGCTATTTTTAAAGCACATTTTGACAAATGTTTTGAAACTTTTTCGCTAGGTTCTCCTATGTATGTAATTGTTTTAAATTGTTCGTGTTCTGTATTTGGTTTCGGATAAATAGAGTTTACTGTTGTCTGTATTTGTTTTTTATTTATAATTTTATCTATAATGGACGGATTGTAGCCGTTGGTCAGTGCTATTTGTTTAATGATATTAAGTTCTTTGTTGTAATTTTCTGTTGAGAGTGGCGTATTAAGAAGTCTGTATATAAAAGAGTTAAATGCAGCCATTTTGTGTGTATAAGGGTGATTTGAGAAGTTATGTATGACTGTGTTCGTGTGTGAAGGTTTATGATATATTGAAAAATCTAATTTCTTTTGCACTTTCGTAATAGTTAAGTCTAAAAAATTAATAGAGTTATCCTGTTCAATCTCGATAGTGAATTTTATACGATTGTGTATTGAGTTAATGTAATTTAAAAAAGAATTCAATTGTCTGCACGTTCCAACAAAGCAAGCAAAGACATCATCCACATATCTATACTACCATAAAAAACTTATACTTAAAGGATGTTCTAGTATGGTATTTTACAAATTATCCATAAAAATCTCAGCTAACAAGGGACTAAGTGCGTTTCCCATAATCAAACCTTCTTTAGATATATAAATCTGTCCATTAAATTCAAAATAATTTTGGTCTAAAAATACTATTAAGCAATCTAATAAATCTTGTTTAACCAATGGGTTAACCTGCTTCCGAGTTAGGGCGAAATCTAGTAAATCACATCCATAGGTGGAATACTGGGAAATAAGTTTTGTACATCAAAACACATTAGTATTGCGTTAGAAGGGATTTTGATGTCACTCAATCATAAATCTCCTGTAATCCAAGTTATTTTTGCTTTTATATTTGCACAAAACAAAACTGTCACTCGGAGTTTTGGAGGAGTATTTTTTTTTCTTGAAACGCATCATTTTTCAAAGCGAAGAAATATTCCCGAACATTTTATTGCTCTTATTGTGGGCGGTTCCAATTTTTTCAAGTTTTTTCAATGAAGAAATCCTAAAATGTTCGTTATATGAGAGTGGCCACTAACAGAAGTTTTGCTGTATAAAGGCGCTACTATAAAAATAGCTTCAATCACACTATTAACATAAACAGGTAAGATTTAAATGGATGATTTAATGGAAAATTAAAGTCGCAACGTGCAAAAGTTGTTAATATAAAATTGCTCCATAACTGGCTACAAAATCATCTTTTTGACGATGCCCCATTCGATTCAACGTCTGTGGTACCACATATTTGCCCGGATTCCGTACCGTGAAAACCTAAACTAGACAAGAAATGTATTGAAAGTACCTATATAGGGCGCAGGCAAAAGGTATGCTGTCGTCAGCCCTTGGATCCTCGTTCGTCGGTCCAAAACTGATATCCAAACAATACGCGAAATTATCACATCTTTCTCCTATATGCTCCAAGTCTGGGACTTCATTCATTGTGTACCAACACATGTAATAGCTCGCTGTTGTGCGCCACTGAAACCTTTCTAAGGGCCCTATAATATAATAATTAGCATATCCAAGATCCACCGACCCAAAGAAGAAAATTAAATAAACGGTGCCAAAACTGAATATTGTTCATTGTCTGGTGATTTTGGAAACCTATAGATCATACACTGCCGTCGAGATGAAGTCTCTACATTAAAGTTAATATTAGAAAGCATCTCCTATAGCATTTTGGCACCCCGTATTGTCGCCATACCAATATAAATACCCACCTTCAAATGGCCTGGCGTAGTGGTCGTCAGCATCTCTCAATTTCTTGCATTCGAATTCTATTTGGCCGATCTGTTCTGCGTTTTTGACCCTCTCCCATCGTTGCTCCTGAATCACCACGGCACTGTCGTCTTCCCTCTTCAACGATGTCATTCGCACTTTTTTCCTGAGATAGTCCACGCATTGCAAGAACGACCTGTCGCAATACTTGTTCACTTCCCAGTGTAGGCTCCTAAGTGGTGGTTTGGGGAAACTTTTATAATTGGCTCTGTAAAACAACGATTGTGTTTGTTTGTGTGATGAGGGGAATTGCAGGTACTTGAAAAGACGCAATTTATTTTGCTCATAATGTAGCAGTTTCCGAAAAATTGTCTGCCTAACTTTTATAAGAATTTAGTAAAACTGACGCGTTGGTCGAAGTTGTCAATTAAAATTAATTTACTGATTGACACCCAGACATTACGATGAGCGACATGGGCCGACCCTTTTTTTCATAAAATGTCACAACAAGAAGTTACATAGATAAATATTTCATTTCTACCGAAACAAAAGCGACCCAAAGCGATGAAGTTGATCAAACAAGCGAAACGCATGAAAGAAATATGCCTTTGAACAAATCCGTAACAACTACGGAACACGTCTCGGCCAAGTGTTCGATCAGGTCCGAACATGTTCTAGGTCAAGTGTCTATCAAATTTGAACAGGCCTCAACAAGATCTAGATCAGGTTCGATCAGGTCCGAACATGTTCTTTGGTTAGCGCAATAATTAAATCTGACCCTTAGATCAACCAAACCACCGGAGAACGGCGGATGGTCAAGTAACGAAAAGACGCTACGAAAACACCTACAATTTCGGTAGATAGTGTTGTGGCTAACAATCAAAAAGCAGAAGGTCTGAAAATTTTAATTTAACAACAAATACTTTCACTGGTCAAAACATTGTTAACTTTTTTGCGAACTAGTTTTCATCTGCATACAAAAAACATGATGGGAATGTTTCTGATTATATATTTGACTATGGTGTTGGCTTAAATGTCATTAATTTTTCTGTAAGTGACATGTTTACGGGAATAGATAGTGTTCAAACTAAATACTCATATGACCTAGAAGATATTCCATCAATTTTATTAAAAAAATGTGTGTACCATCAGATTTTTAATACTTTTCTGTCTAGTGTTTTTCCTGACTACTGGAAAATAAATTATTTAATAATAATTCATAAGAATGATGACGGAATCAATGTTAATAACTAAAGAGGTGTAGAAGTATATTTACAAACTTTTTGATTAACTATTCTGTCAATATTAGGCGTGGGGTGGCTTTGTAAAAAAATTATGTGCGACAATCAACATGCTTTATTAGCAGCACGATCTGTTGAGTGCTTTTGCGAAGTCTAAACAAGTGAAACAGTCTTGAGTATTTTTTCTTAAGTTTCAAGTCGTCGGACCCGGTGGTACCCTGGTTGAATTTTGTCACAGCTTTTAACAGGGAGTATATAGCAGGTCCATTATATTTCCAGGGAAATAGTGGTGCAGTTTGTTTTTTTAACAGATCTGAATACTGTGGTTCTGTATTCGAGGCACCTTCAGAGCGACTTTAATAATGTAAGTTTGTGGTGTTGAGAAAATGGTCTGGATCTAAATGTTAGTTAGGGGACCTTGGAGTCATATTTAACAGGAAACTGACCTAAGAATTCTTGCTTTTATTACCTGTAATAGTACACTGCTCTCATCTTACTGTTTTAAAACCATTTCTTGCACCTTCTGCATCCCATTGAATATGACCTGGTATGTGAGTCTTTTATAATAAATGATATGGAAATTGGATGAACCCACTCCGATATCTTGACGTTTTATAAAATTTTGAGCGGTATATATTGGTTTGAACCGTCAAAGACGTCAGAACTTCGACTATTTAAGACAAAATTAACAAAGTAGTTGATTTTGAGTAACAAGTGTGGTACTGTTTTCTTCTACTGGTTTTATTTTTTTTGTTTTTATAATTTTTATGTGGTTAATTAAAATTTTTTTTACCTAAGTTGCTATCTTGCTACGTTGTCATTTTTATTTACATTTTTATTCTTATCTTTTTATTGTAAATTGAAATAAATAAATGTGAAACTTATATTTTTCTTAAAGAAATCAGTTCGAACACAACTATAATAATAATAACAAAGTTTAGATGTTAATAGTATAGTCTTTTTTGCTGTTTGATTATTTTACCATTTATATATTAGCTAAAGTTACTACGAAAATTTTTATTTTGTAGAAAATATGCCAAAATTGTGGAAACCACAAATGAAATATTCTATGTTTCGCTATTTTATTGGCTTTGACGGTCGCTTTCCCGCACCAGGCGGCTAGTGAAAACATAAAGCATGAGAAAATCGGTCGATTTTAAAAAATGTAGCTTTTCATAAATTTCTGGAACGTAATTTTGTAAAACCTACTTCACAGACTACCTAATTAATTTGTGCAACGTTACGTTGTCATCGTCGACGAATTTACTTATGTTCAAACTATCATTACTTAACGCCATGTTTATACAAATCCCGCACAGGGAGCACCGGCATTATGTTACGCGTCGTCTCCGAGATGGATGGCGTAGGTGCGGGTCGTAAATCTAGCTCTAATACATATCTCGCTCGTAATAACGTCTGTCAAAGTGCGGCTATAATCAGACCCATTGATCTGCTATGCGAACTATTTAATAATTGGTTCAAACGCATGCCGGCCCGAGAATTTAGCGAACAATGGCCTTCATGACTATTCAAAGAAATGCTAAAGCCAAATTTGTTTTGATGTTGCATCCTTTCATAATTCGTAGATGGGCGATATTTGTTATTATTATTATTGTTATTATTATTATTGTTATTATTATTATTATTATTATTATTATTATTATTATTATTATTATTATTATTATTATTATTTCGGTTGTTTACCGGAGTATCCTCTACAGTCGACCGGTAGGCAGGACTACAAAGCTTGTTATTCCTCCAAGAATGATCGGACGATATGTGTGGCATCCAATATGACGGACTTCTGCATCAGTTTGTAAGTATTCCATGGAATGCCAATTTGTTGAATGCTTTCTTTAAAATTTTTAGAAACCAAGCATGTGGATGACATGATGACGATACGATTTTTACTTCATCGAGGCTCCACATCTCCAGGATTTCCCTTTTAAGGTGAGTATATTTCTCTACTTTTTCTATATGTTTAGTATGAAGGTTATTGTTGTTGGGTATAGATATGTCTACTAGCATTGCCGAGTTTGTTTGTATATTTATTACTGTCATATCTGGTCTGTTATGCGGTGTTGTTTTGTCTGTAATATCCCAGTAGATTTTTATCTGTCTCTTTTCAACGACAGGGGGAGGTTTATACGAATAGTATGATTCTTTGTTTGGATAAGTGATTTCTAGGGATTTGAGGATTTCCAGATATATAATTGCAGCAGCCTTCTGTCTCTCCAAATATTTTGTTGGGGCAAATCTTGGGCACGCTGATAGTATGTGCTCTATAGTTTCTTGGTTCTCATTGCACTTTCGGCATCGGTCACATATTTTCTTTGATTATGTACTTTAGGTAATTTCTAGTCTTGATTGTTTGGTCCTGGATAGCGAACATGAAACCTTCTGTTTCGGGGTACAGATTTCCTGTCTTAATCCACTGTAGAGATGCTTCCGGGTCAATCTTTTCCTTATTTAGGTCGTGTCTAAATCGTCCATGGAGCTCCTTCGTATTCCAAGCGGCTATTTTCTCTTCCACTGTTCTTAGTGGGAATGGTATATAGTTTTCCTCGGCTAGACTTAATGGCGTGTATCTTTTGTCAGCTTTGACTATCGCTTGAAGAAAGAATTTGCTAAGACCGTTAATTTGTTGGAGACATGCCCAGACTGCATCGCGAATACCTCTACCACCCTTGTCTCGTGGTATCGTAACGCGATCTACATCTGTTTTTGGGTGGTGCATTCAGTGCTTCGTGAGACTCTATTGATCTATTGATGTTGTCAAGCTCTGCGTGCGACCATTTAACTACACCGAAGGAATATTGTAATGATTGAATGATGAATGAGGGCGTAGATATTTATTGCTTTGACTATATTTCTTGAGTTTAGCTTATTTTTTAATATGCTGTTTAGTCTTGACTGGAACTCTTTCGTAAACATGTTTTTTTATTTTCTTGTGTTTAATTCTGTTTGTCTGTAGTATTCCTAGGTATTTGTATGGTTTAGTTGTCATTGATTGTATAATAGTTTCTTCATATATTTGCACAGTTAACATACGTTAAGCATTATTTTCAGACCAAGTGTCATCCAAATATCCGGCCTCCATTTTTGTGTTGTGTTTGTTCGAGGACTATCTGAAGTTGCTTTTTGGTGGCAGTGTATATCATTAAATCGTCCATAAAAAATAGATTACTTATAACTTGTTTTGTTCTCCCAGTTGTTATGGTGGCTTCGCATCCGGTTCTGTTTAGTGCTTTAGATAAGGGGGTCGAGGGATAGACAGAACCATAAAGCCGATAACGAGTCACCCTGGAATATTCCTATTTTTATTTCTATGCTTTTGGTTTCTATTGATGACGCTCCAGTTACAATCCTCAATTTTGTATTCCATGTTTTCATGGAATGTTTTAGTAGACTCGATATATTTTGGTCAATGTTATATATTTCCAGGGTTTTAATCAGCCAATCGTGTGGAGGTTTCTGCATTTCTCCCTCGTTTGTTCTAGAATCACAGAGTCTACGGTGAGTTGTTCTTTACATCCCACAAAATTTTTTCGACACCCTTTCTGTGCCTCTATTAAAATGTAATTATCTTCAAGGTAGGAATAAATCTTCTCTGAAATTAGAGCCGTCAGGATTTTATAGATAGTGGGTATACATGTTATAGGTCGGTATTGGGCGGGGTCTTGCGTTTCGTTGGATTTTGCAAAATGATGTTGAATTCTTGCGCAATGTATTTGTGTATACTAGGTAGTTTCTTGTGCTTGGTCTGCCTGTTCTACAGCTATCCAGGTTTTTTTTGGCTTTTTGTTTCTTTTGACCATATGCCTTTCCAGAAGTTTTCGACATCTGTTTGTGTTTGGGTATTTTGTTTATCTCTTGATTGCTACCCTTGAGTGATCGGTAGAACCCACGTTGATTCTTTTTTGTAACTTTCATGGTATATTTTGAGCCTTTTAGAGTATGTTGCAAGCTTCTGTTTAAGTGTATCTAGGTGATCTGTAATTATTTTTCTCTTGTTTTGTCCCTGTGTTTTAATTTTGTCCTTAATTTCTTTTGGTATCTTTCTCATCAGCGCTTTTGTTTCTTCCCCGTTCGCCAGTTGTTGTATTCTGCCAATTTCTTTCCTCATTTTTTCGATTTTTTGTTTTAACTGTTGATGCCATTTTGAGTCGTGTTTTTTGTGCATTTTGCTATCGTCTTGTTGCACTTGTTGGTCGTTGACATAGATAGCTGCTAGTGCCGAGCAGTAGACGTACAGGTATATCTTCTATGTCCATCTCTTCGGTTAGGCTATTTTGCAGTTTATGATCTGTTTCGCGAAGGATGTTTTTAGTCCCTGGTTTATGATGGAGTTTGGGAAGCGCTGGCCTGAGAGATGGATAGGAGCCTCGATATCTAATAAGAGCTTCTTCGAATCTGTCGCTAAAGCTTATCACTGCTTGATTAGGACGGTTTATAGTTGCTCTTCGCATCCGTTGTCCACTTGGCCGTTTGGCTCTTGTTACGGTTTCAACCCACTCGTTTGTTTGTCCCATTTGCCTCTCTACTTCTTCTTTGATTTATTGGATTCTTTGTGGGGGAAATAGGTTATTTCTTATTATAGTACGTTTTTGGTCTGCGATTCGTTGTTCGCTGAGATGTTGTGTGTGTGGCATTTCCCTCACAAAATCCTCGTACATTCTAGATCGGTACAAAGTCATATCGGTTTCATTAGAGGTAACCTTGAAGTCAGATCATGGTATTTGTTTGTTGGTTTCGTTATCCCACTTCATAAGTCGTCTTCTCTCGTTTTCCGGGTTTTGGCTAGTGGGTATAACAACAGGTTGCACAGCACGTTCCTCCGGTACCTGGTCATGCGGTCGTTGGAGTCCATTTCGACGGATGGTCACTCCATCTCCATTCCCATCTACACGCTGATCTTCCTGACGGTTCCGATTAGGAGGACCAGTGCTCTTATTATTATTAATATTATTATTATTATTATTACAAGGAATAATGTGCAGAGCAGAAACCAGTATTTAGTGTCAATGCTGTTCAGCAAAAATGCTGTCCAAGCGACGTTTAAATACAAATAAGATCGGGTAAACTGTTTCAGTGTTCGTTACTCATGTTACTCATAAAACGCAGGCGGTGTGATGCCCTGAATTGTTCTTCCCTTATCTTAAATAAATGGCTACTTAGGCGTTCTTCGTCATTGCTTAAGATCATAAAAAGCAAGTCAGATGGAAGCTGGTTATGCTCTAACCTATATATTTGCATAAGATCCCCCCCACCCCCGGCCAGCTCAGCTGACTTTGACTTAATATTGGCAGGTTCAAGTATATTGAGACGGTCGTCGTAAGGTGTATTTATAAGTTGAAGTTGCCCTTGTTCTCTAATTTCACAATCCTGCATGAGTTCCAAACAGGGGAGACAAATTCCAGTATTGGGCGAATGTAGATCATAAAAAGTATGCAAGCGAGGCGAGGACTGAGATTGTTAAAAGTCGTTTTTAACAATAATAAAGCGTAATTCGCTTTCTTAGCAATGTTTGATATATGTACAGACCACCACAGATCATTGGACACTGTTACACCTGGGTCTACCTAAGAACTTACATTGGATAGAATGTCTCCATCCCAAACCGGGATTGTTCTTTCCAACAACTAACACTGAACATTTAGCGGTAATAGCCACCACTTCCAAATAGTATTGAAATCTCGCTGGCATGCGCATGTGTTATAGGATTTTGAAATAATTTACTATCATCAGCATAAGCGCTCATGCGTCTATAAGAATAACATTGTGCACTGTGTGGTAGTGAAAACGCGTTACCGATTCGGACTCTTAACGGTGGGTGGCTTTGGAACGCGGCTATCCATTCAATACCTTGCTCCGACCTTCTCAAGTTTGAATAACAAGCGTTGATGTGGCACTTTGTCAAAAGCTTTGCTGAAGTCTAGGTGTACAATATCCACTGGATGCCATGCTGCGATGTAGGTATAATATGGCAGTGAATCAGGAAGGGTAAAAGCTGATTTGCTATTAGGCGTTCGAGAACTATACATATAACACACACTATGCTAACAGAAGAGAAGAAAAATAATTTTTTTCATGCCCTCTTGGTCAAACTGAATGTCTCCTAGGAAATTTAGATTCACAGGCCCATCATAATGAGACGGTAGATTAGCGGGTTCATCACCAAACACAGAAGCAAAATATGATGTAAATATGCTTGGAATAAAGTCCTGGCAATAGGAGACTTCTGCCAAAGCATTTCGAATATCGGGGATGGAGGGAAACGATGTCTACTTCCCCAGTCTCTAATCTCCCAAATCTTCAAACTCCAAATTTCTTCTGTGCAGCATAATCACCAGCAGAGGCAGTGGCTTTAAATCGTTAGAGTTCTTTTATGTTTTATTTATCTGAAGAGATGTCCAGTTAGGCAAGGCTTTCCAGAATTGAATTTTACAAAATGACTTTTGAAGCTTATGCCTATGTAATAATTCAGAGTAGATAGAAAATATATCTATGCGCCATTGACGTCGTCATCAGTAAAATGCCAAGCATGGTAGGAAAGGTCTGCAGGTAACTTTGTAAAATCTGTTCTGCATATCTTTTCTGGCGATTATTATTTTGCTTAGTGTAATATAAGGCTTGAATACAAAAATTAACAACAACATGATCAGATTTGCAGTTCTCAACTCAAACTCTAGTTGGTCAAGTAAGGAGAAGGTCAAGAGTTGATGGAGTGTCGCTGGTGTGTTCTTTCATCAAGTTGACTGAGATTGCAATGAGACAAAAAATTAATGTTCAGGTATGGACGTGCGCAGTCGCTTGAAATAACAGACCAGGACCTTTTTGGGAATTTTATTAAATTTAAGAATTTGACACTGTATGTATCGACAACATAGTCGGCAACGTAAAAACAAGCATCCGCCATCCTGCCTGCTAGGTTGATCGGAAGGTGGAAAACAAATAGTGAAATCAGGAATATCAGGTCTTAACAAGGTTACGGTTATTAGAATACAAGCAGGTTTAACGGAACCAATATAAGCATTGGCAGGTAATGAGCAAAGATTTGTGTAAACAATGGGCAAAGAAAGGACGCTTACTATTTGATTGTTAGCTGCTTTTAACCTCTCTGGTATCTGTCCTTCCTTTTCTGTTCGTGTTGATAGAGCGTTTGGTCTTCAAGTATCCCAACATTCTTAATCGGTGCAGTAAGAGGTTTGTTTTTCTGTTTTAGGATTCATTGAACCAGTTCAGGGATTCCAACTAGGACCTTCAACGGTCGAACTCTAGTACCCTCACCATCAGAATTTTGGGTTCCTAACCGAAACACCGGAACATTTGGATATTTGCTCGTTTTATGATGTACAAAACAGATCATTTAAGAAATTTCAGCATTAAGAATCGATTTAAACCTATGCAAAACTAATTAGAGCAGCAGCACTCGCATCCGCACGCGCCGCGAGTTAAAAACATATCTCAGTATTGCCATTCTGAAGCCAATGTCTTTTAATATTATTCAATCCAGCTTCGAGGGATGTTTGGTCACTGCATATTGTCGTTGCTCGTTTGCATAACATTTTAACTAATTAACTACGTTCCGGAACGGTAAGACTCGGATACTCTACGTGTATTTTTTTCACATGTGGTGGTGGATTGAATTAAGGTAATTGACAATTAAATCCAGTTTTAGATCGGTTCCAATCCAGATATGAAAAAACGAACTAAAATACGTATAATTTTCCGAAATATCTTCACCTTGTGGGTTGTTATTAATGTCCAATTGGCTGACTAATTTTTATGACTATTTTAAGCAGTAAAATGTGTTTTGAAATTATCACTATTTTTTTTTCGTTTCAATAGTGACGATTTCTCCTAATCACTTGTCCGGTAAAAATTCCATAATTCCTATACAATAAAAAATAAAAAAAGAGTAAACAATCAGCAAACTTTGACGAGCATCAAACGGCGAGATGAACAGTATGAGATAAAAACAAAGTTATTATTATGTTTAATTTAGGTCTTCATTGATGCTGCAAATTTTCTTCCTCTTCTTCTTCTGCAATTGCCGTGTTCTCCCAGAACATAATCTTCACTTTGTCCGCAGCAGATCTAAACAATATAGTGGTGCTTACTCTAGACCACTGACACAGATTTTAGAGCCAAGACGTTCTTTCTTGACAGGTCTATGTTTTCCACCTATTTTTCCTTGCACGAATGGGCTTTCTTCTTTTAGTGGTAATATAGTAAAATAAATAATATCCTCAACATTCTCCGGTAAGCCAACATTTCGAAAGCCTCAATCCTCTTACACATTGTTTCAGTGAGATTCCATTCTTCCATACCGTAGAATAATGCTAAAAACATAACAACATAATAAGCGCATTCTTCAGAGAATTCTTAAGGCTCTGTTGGTTATCACATTTTGCATGTTCTTCAACGATGTTCTTGCTTGTTCTATTCTGTTTTTGATTTCTTGAGTTGAGTGCCAGTTTTCATTTGCCCAGCACCCCAAATACTTGTATGCTTGTACTCTTTCCACTATTTCTAAGCTAATATCTGTTATTAGTTATGTTTTTGTTTTTGCTGATACCTATCCGTTTGGTTTTCTTTATATTTAGCGTAGAAACATTTGTTGGCTATGATCTGTTACCGCTGATAAAAGTAGCTGCAAATTATCCTTATCCGATACTAGTACGACCGTATCGTTAACGTATCTTAAATATTTGATGACGATTCCATTAGCAATTACCTTCTTTCTTCGGCGGCTTCCCTGCAGATATTTTCTTCATATAAATTAAACAAAAGAGGAAAGAGTAAACATCCCTGTCGAACTCCTCTCATAATAGATGTCTAGCCGGTAACTCTTATGTCAGCTGTCTGGTTCCAGTATAAGGTGGCTATTTAAGAAAGTCATGCTGAACAGTGCCAAATGTCTTTTCACAATCTACGAAGCAGGCATACACATCAAAGTTCACATCTACACATCGCTGTATAAGAAACAGAATGCTAAACAGCACATCTCTTGTAGCGAAACCACTTTTATAGCCAAATTGAGACAAACCAATATTTTCTTCGCATTTTATGTATATTCTTAGGTGAATGATTTTCAAGAACAACCTCAATACATGGCTCATTAAACTGAGCAAGTTGACCTGTGCCAATCTTTAGGAATTATTCTGGTTTTCTATATGCAGTTCAGCAAAGTTAACAGAAGTGCGCATTTCCCATTTTACTGTTAGTTAATCTCCAACAATTGATTAGTGACGAAGATATGGATAGTATAGAATAGTGTTGTGAGGTATAGTATATTGTAGTATAGTGTTATATAGTATGGTGTAGTATAGGATAGTATAGTATAGTTCAGTACAGTATAGTAGAGTATAGTTTAGTAAACCTAATCCATCACGGAAAAATAATATATTTGAAAATGGGTAAGGATGTACAAGCGTAGTAATATCAGCTACGGGATAATCTCGGCCCCCACCCCACCAACTGTAGAGATAAAGCAAATGGCATTAAACAAAAAAGAATTTAAAGCATTACATTATTGCGATGTTTAATATTTCAAAGTTTTATAGCCATTACGCTCACTGGAGGTCATTTAAAAAACCCGAAAATATTTTGCACACTTTTTCACTAGGTCGATTTACTTGATAAATTTCTTTTTCCAAAGTGCTAGGACCTCTCATGTGCCTTACCTTATGGTACTTACACCTGACGTATTTACAATGGCAATAGCAACAATTAGTAACTAGGCATCTCTCGATGCTGAATTATAACGCGTTGCGAAACAGACTAATTTGTACGCTCTTCTGACGTTACATTAGATAAGATCAGACGAACAGCGAAATAATATCACATAAAAACAGTTTTGCAGACCGCAAGCAGTGCCTTGTCAAACAAGAAACACTGAATTAATTAATACTTGTTTAGAATGTGACTTGTCTGGCGCCCATATAAAATTTCATGTTTGAGTATAACGTATAAAGGATTTCGTCCTTCCATTAATGCGCTGGATCACTATAGAATATTTAAGCGGCCGCTTGTTAAGTTATAATTAAGTTTCAGATGATGAATCCTGTTTGTCCATAATTCGTGAAAATAAAAGTAAATTCCAGATAGAACTTCCAGTCCGTGGAAATGAACAAGGACGAAAAATAACTTTTTTGTTTTAAATCTACCAAAGAAAATTATACTGATATTGTTATTAAATCCTAGGCAATTATGTTAAAAAAATAGGCTGTCTGAGAATTTCGAATGCAAAGCCGCCCGACTCAGACGAACGTTTCCGAGAGCTTAATCGAGCGAATTCGTAGGAGCGCGCTTCAACTTCTAAATTTTTAACGGCAAAAGTGACACGTTTTGTTATTCTTCAATCGACAAAATAAATAAAACCAGACTCGGCTAATAGCCTACGCCGAGCCGCATTTTAAAATTCCACCCAAACAGCTTAAACTAAAATGGGGGAATTATCTTGGCTTATGAAGTCGCTTTTAAAAGTTTTCCTGGTTAAATAAAAAAAAGCGCCTAGTTGCCGGAAAAAATTAAACTTCCAGCGGGTTATGTCTATGACCTCGCTACATATTGCAGCCGAGCGCAAATTAAAAAAGAAAACTCCTTTGTTCTCGAGAAATAGAAATTTTCCAACTGCTTCGCATGCAGAGAATTTTTTTTTTTCATATGCGGCTCATTAATGCGCGTCTCTGCCTTCGTGTTGCTTACAAATGGAGACAATTGCTCTTTCGTATTTACTAAAGTTGGAGCATAGATATGAGATCAACTGTGACACCTAGTCCAGGATAGCGCCGAATCTATTGTCTTTCTTTCCAACAGGAAATGCGATTAGTACAAGAAAGAATGTTAGTGAATAGTATGGAGGAGTTAGGAGGAGGTATGGTATTGGTGCCAGATGGGCCCGTTGTGCCCCCAGACCGCGCCAGAGGTAGTCCAGAATGCCCCTCCTAGAGAAGATCAGCAACTTCTTTAGCCCAATACCGTGTACTGAGTCCGGATCGACCAGGGTCGTTCCGGAGTCTCCAAATCTTGCCCATGTCAAAGCAGGGCACTCGGTGAGCAGATGATACGGGGTCTCCTCCCCTTCCACCTGCACTCCCGGTCGTCTCCAATGCCTAGCAAGCAAAGATGCCTCCTAAGCCTGCAATGTCCTGTGTAGGCCCCTGTTAGTGCTCTACACTCCCTTCTGGTCAGTCCAAGCGGCTCCCTGATCCGAGGGAGGGAGGGCTCATCCATCATAAGCAACTCTCCAGCACACCACGGCCCATTCTCTCACCCAGGCTTCGAGAGCTTCCGACCTCATGTACGGGGCGATCCCCAAGCGGGGCTCTGTTCCCATATGCCTGTGCGAGGAGTCCTCCTTGGCTAAGGCGTCCATTGCCTCATTGCCCCGGATCCTGGTGTGACCCGGGACCCAGACCAAAGTGACATTCATCTCCTCGGCCACTTTCCTCGGTACCTTTTGGCACTCCTTTATAAACAAGGTGAGTGTGCGCACTGACTTCAGCGCCATAAGTGCCGCCCTACTATCAGAGCACAGGAGGAGGAAAGAATGAAGAATGAAGCTCATAATCACAGGTTACACAAAAAGGTAGTATCTGTGATGCCTTCTTTCCTTATTCTAAATGCCATGCTTACAGTCATCTAATTTAGATCCACAACTTGGTTACAAACAGATAAAATACCAAACTTCTTCCCTGTCCTTCCAGCTTCCGTCATCCTGACATTTTTCGCATAGCTTGATCTACTTCATCCCGAGAAGATCTTATTGGTCTACCTCGCATTTCATTGTATTACTCTGTCTACCCATCTATTCGTGACCATATTATATTATTCATTTCTTATGTAAATCGTTCTCCTCTTGTCGCCCTATTGCATCTTGTTCAGTATTCCATTTTTGTGGATGTGATTCTTTGCTTTTGCTCCCTTGTGTTTATTGCATAGTTATCGGTTTCGTAGAGCTTGACAATCCTTTTTTTTACCGCTTTCGTGATACGCGAGTTACAGAGTACTTCATTAAGTTGTCAAACACGTGAGCTAGTTTGCATTAAATAGGTCACAGGGTGGAGTGGATGAGAACAATCGGCTTGCTTGTTTTTTGTGACTTGTAGTATCAATTGCTTGCCCTAATTTTGACTACCCTTTACTCTTGGTACGCAATTACAAGCCTCAATTAGATGAATAGAAACTAAGTGAACCGTTATAAATTTCTTCTTAATTACTAAATATAGCCCACACACAATCTTCCCCATGTGATCTTCACATATTCTCCTCTTTTGTATTTTTCTTCTATACTTAACATAGTTCTTAACAAGTCCAGTGGCTCTATATCCAGACCCAGAAGATTTTTTTTGTTTTAGGTTCTCAAGTACATACTGGATCTCATTTAGCGTGACTTCATTTTCTTCTTCTTCGTCTTCCAGTCGTTCTCCAAATAGCGGATTATTTTCTGTATGCAATTTGTTTGAATTCTTTTAGCCTAAAATTTTCAATTCGACGCCATATTCAATATTTAAACGGAGTGTTATTCTTTGGAATTCTGATATTTTTAAATATAAAACTAAAAGAAAAAACACCACGCTCTATTAGTTTAGGAATTAAAAAAATCCGCATAAATAACATCATGTTTTATTACAAGTCTAAGAACTTCATGCTAATATATCCTATATCTTATATATCTCAAATAAGTAAAGTAAGTAAAAACAATTCGTGTCAACAAAAAGAAATAGAAACTCCCTTTATTGGCATAGCATCTAATTATTTTTTAATTTGTTTTTTTTATTGCAGAAAAGGGAACTTTGTAAAACAGAATAAAACAAGCCAATTTTTGAAAATTCTAATTCTTCTAAAGGTAATTTCATTTCTTGTTCTTAAACGATAGAAATATTTTTATAATTCAGTATCAGAATAGTCAATGGGCAATATTTAGGAGCATCTTTTTTTATTTTTATATTTTTATAATTCAGTATCAGAATAGTCAATGGGCAATATTGAGGAGCCTCTTTTTTTCACAAATAAGGGTACGATGATTTTTGAAAAAAAGAAGGCTCTTCTTTTCTTTCATCTGGAAATGTCATTTTCGACGTAAAAAAGTCCAGAAACTTCTCTGTTTTTCATTTAGGTTTTGTAAGTGGACACATATCCTTTACCTTCGGTATTCGCCATCTTAAATATGTGTTAATTGGAATATAGAATATTCCACGTTAGAAAAAATACATGGAAGTTAACACAATAAGCATAGCTAACGTTGCTAGAGCCGTTTAGAGGTTTTGGGGTTTAAAAATTCTGAAATATTTTATGCCCAGAACCTGTATTACGATTAAACTTAGCTTCAGTGGAAATATATTTTTTTTAATTGAAACTGCAAAATAAAACTCAGGACGCCCATTTTATCCGCTATCGCTGTGGAGATTTTCATACTCAGGGTGGCAATCCAAACACTGCACCTTTTGCATTATTTTGCTACTGTATATATATATGTTCAGATCATATTAATATGGACTGAAGAAATTCAGATATTCAATATGGGTAATTAACTAAAACCGTTTAAAAACTAACATAAAACATTAACATTTTATAAAAAATATCGCCATATTAAGTAAAGCTCACAAAAAAATTCGACAGACTAAAAATTTGGATACCTTCATCGATTTTCTTTAATGTTTGAAATTTTGTGGATATTAATATGGCCCTCTTTAAACTTGGTACAACTAAAGTAATGTGTGTGGCATTTCCATTCTTCTTTTTCGAAAAACATGCAGCTGTCAATTTTTTTCAATTTATTGAAATTTCATGCTGTTTAGCGTGGAAACAGTTGTTGCGATTTTACAAAATTTTGGCTTAATCTTGGAAAGATCTACGAATTTTCATTTGCATCATTCATCTTTATTTTAAGCAATAAAAATAGACAGATAGGTACACATAATGTTTAACAGGTATTTAAGCAAAAATTGAAGCAAAGGGGCTAATTTTGCAGAATGAAGTTTATATCCAGCTAAACCAAGATATCAACTGGTTTGCTGGTGGAAAACTTCAAATAAATACACCTTAAGGTCGCATCTGCCCAAACAGAAAATCATTTATTTATTGGAAAATGTACTATAGAAAGATACAATATAATATTTTCAAAAATATGTCGGTTCCAAGTTCGAGAATATGATCACTTCACAGTTAGGGGTGAGTTTCAAGTAATACATTTTGAAAACACTCTTTCGTTCACATTTTTGTAATTAGTGTACCACTTTTGACTTATAACTGACATGCACCAAGCAAACCAAATTCTTCGAAATAAAACAAAACCTACCTGGGTGCAGTTTTGGCATCAGTTTGATATCGTCGGTCGTATTCGTTGAATTTGTGCGATCGAAGATAGAAAGCGATATCTTTGATTCCATCTTTAAACCACCAGGGCCGTTGCTCGTGTCGAATCACCTCCTCGAGATTGTTTGTGGTCGTACTAAAATCCTCAGTAGCTTCTTCTGTTGAGTCGTGAACTGGCAGCCCATTATGCATTGCCAGCGATATAATAACTAACGTACAACACGCCCTGAGGGGCATTTTTGTTTATTCGATGGAATAATCAAAATGTAGTTGACACAACGGCTGATTTCTGTCATCCTATGCGATTTGGTATCGCATCCAAAGAAATTCCTTTTATCCAAATTTTGTTCTAATAGTCTTATTTTTTAATTTAAAAAAAAAACAGGTTTCATTTTCGTATGTGTCATCTAAAGGCTGTGAAGTCCTTCCGGCAAATTGAAGTCAGGATTTTCTGGGCAGAGTGGAGTGCTAAATAGGTCGTAAGAGTAGTGGGGAATAAAAAAAAAAGTAGACTTACAGACCCAGAGCCACAACCGCTAGACGTACACAGCTCACGTCTTTCATAGTGTTAGGTACTCACTGGAATCAGAAATGGAGTCTCGTTCGTCCCCTGCAGAAAGGCATCAACTTGAATTTTGCTTACATAGTTCTTTTTGGCACAAATATGGACTATTAATTCTACATTAATAACCTAAGACCACTTGTCTTGTTGCTACACCTTAAGCGATTGCCAGATTTCAGCATCTTCCGACTTTTTAAATAATTTATTGGGCCTACTGGAATTCAAAATTAGATGAGGACTTTATATGAATTATATACAATATAACGATAACAAGATTACATTTTGGCAAAAAGGCGAGATTCAGTCTACTAAATATTAGTATACTGTTCTATCTCACCCGATAAAAGGGAGAAAAAAAAGTACGTGAATTTCCATTTTATAAGTTGTAAAAAAGTTACCTAGAAATTTCCTTAATTTACCCATCCAGTAGTCTCTGAAAAAGTTTAATTTTGAAGCGTTTTGCTTAAATTTTTGATTTTACTTGGCAAATTATTTAAACACGAAACAATATTATATGAAAAGGAGTGTTTAAAAATTTCAGTTGCTTGCATTGGCGGAGTAAGCGTTCCTTTAAATCGTATATTAAGATTATGTACGTCACAGCGATAGTTTATTTTGTTAAAAAGGTATGGAGGAGACTTTCTACTTAGTATTTTTGAATATAGAAGGGCAGAATGATGAAATATTCTATTTTTCATATTTAGCCAATTAACTCTTTGAAGTGTGTGACTAATTCTGCTGAACTTTCGGATCACAAAAATCAACCTGAGATATGGGTTTTGAAGCGTTTGAATTCGGCGTTTATCAAAATAGTTTCAACAAGGGCCATACACTGCAACCCCGTTACTTAGTTGAAACAAAACTGCTTAAAAATTCACGATTTTGATATATAAATTTTAATATTAAATATGCCTTTTGTAAACATTTAGAAATATGCTCTGAAAATAAAATTTTTGTGGTTACATTTTTATATCTACTGATATATTAAGGGTTTTCTGATAAATATTTGTGGAAAACTCTTAAGATGTCTTCTCATTTTTGGGAAAACTTAATTTTCTAGACCCCTTTGGTTTGCCAGACAACCAGTAACTCAGCAATAATGCTCATATTAATTCAAGAAAGCTGTACTGAACTGACAAAATAACACTGTAAAGAGGAAAACACAGCACTAACTGCACTAGATGATCCAAAAAGGCTACAGCAGTAATCGACTGCATAAAATTTGGTGATATTCAATCTGAATCCTTCTCCCGAGATTGAAAATTTTACAAAAGCACTCAATAATTCTGCTATAACTATTGATAACCATAAGATCTCTCGACTAGCTGTAGGTGGACTGATGCCTTGCAACTGATCAGATGCAACTTAAAAATTGCAAGTTGCACAATAGAGGGTATCGGTAAGCAACGATTAGTTGGTATTTACAATCCTTCAATTACAAGAAGCAAAATAGTCTGATATCTGAGTATGATATCGTACTTTTATTAGTCTAGATCATTTTTTAGCGGAAATTAGATAAAAAAGAGAACTTTCCACAGAAATGTATCGGTATTTTATTAATAACGGGTGTTTTTTTTCGATGTATAGAAATTTAAGTTGGCATTACTGTTCAAGATGGCGACCGACTTAACAGCTGTCAAGTTATTTATTCTCAGTTTGGTTTGGCAATTCATCATGAATAGACTCACGCCTGATCAACGCTTGCAAATAGTGCAATTCTATTTCGAAAATAATGGTTCTGTGCGGAATACGTATCGCGCACTACGTCCATTTTATCGTGGAAAAAATCGTCCATCAGAACAGTTAATTCGATTAACCATGGAACGTTTTCGCACCACGTTTACTCTTATTGATAACTCGGGTCCCCAGAGACGCCATAACGTGCGTACAGAAGAAGCTATTGCTGCTGTAGAGCGTAGCATTGAAGAAGACCCGAATGAGTCCATCCGCCATCGAGCACAGAAATTGGATCTGTGTCCATCCACTTTATAGAAGATTTTGCGGAAGGATATGGTTTACGTGTTTACAAAATCCAACTCGTGCAAGAATTGAAGCCAAACGATCATCAAGTAAGGCGTAGATTCGTCGAATGGGCCCAAAACGAGATTGCCGTTGTTCCCGATTTTCATAAGCGAATTTTGTTTAGCGATGGAGCGCACTTCTGGTTGAATGGCTACGTCAACAAACAAAACTGCCGCATTTGGAGCGAAGCTAATCCTCAAGTGTATGTCGAAACACCGTTACATCCAGAAAAACTGACTGTTTGGTGCGCTTTATGGGCTGGTAGAATCGTTGGTCCGTACTTCTTCAAAAACGATGATGGCCAGAACGTTACAGTCAATGGTGATCGGTATAGAGCTATGATTACTAACTCTTTCATTCCTGAATTGAATAACCATGATGTCCAGGAGATGTGGTTTCAACCAGACGGCGCAAAATGTCACACAGCTCGTGCTACAATCGATTTATTGATAGACACGTTTGGTGACCGCCTAATTTCACGTTTTGGACCTGTGAATTGGCCTCCAAGATCTTGTGATTTAACACCGCTAGACTACTTTCTGTGGGGCTATGTAAAGTCATTGGTCTATGCGGATAAGCCACAAACGTTTGACCATTTGGAAGACAACATTCGCTGTGTTATTGCCGATATATGACTACAAATGTTGGAAAATGTCATCAAAAATTGGACGTCCAGATTGGACTACATCCGCGCCAGCCGTGGCGGGCATATGCCAGAAATCATATTTAAAATGTAATGCCACAAGATTATCTTTCGGATAAATAAAATTCATGTCAATCGAATAATCCATCGTTGTTTTATTGCAACTTAAAGTTCTATACATCGAAAAAAAACACCCCATACTTTGTACTTAAACATTTAAATTAGATATAGAATACATTCTCCTTTTATTTCTTTTGCCTTTAGTTAACCGTGTGATGATAAGTAAATGCATTTGAATGAATTTCATTTCAATTTTTTGACAATTAAATATTCCCGAGCTCTCTTCGCCGCTTTATTTAATTGTGAAGGATTTAATCGCAGCGCAATGCAATCTCGCGCTCAGCAAAAAGTTAAATGTATGCGGGCCAAGTTCGTGTTTATTTCCGCGTCGACGTTTCGAATTTTTTTAATATCCCGCAGGATAACGGACAGGCACTTGCCGTCGTAGTTTTTTTTTTAATTAACCTACTTAATTTGGATGCGCTGCGGAGGCAGACGAAACATTCGAAAAACGCGACTGGTATATTTTCATTAAGGATTAAGTTTTTAATTTTATCGCGTTTTATCATTTGGACTAGACAAGCCTGAGGTTTTGGAGCCGGAGGGTTTTTTTGCGGTGCTGAAATGACCTAAAATATTTCGGTAAGGCAATGTTGTATGTCACATTTCTGATGAAAATGTTATACGTTTTATTATTTACAACAATGGCTCGCTTCAGCGAAGAACGATCCATCCTGAGCGTTAAGTATATCTCGAAAAAAGGTCTAAGGTCAAAGGGTATTCAAAGTGGTGCTCCAAAGACTGAATTTTTCGGCAGGACCAAATACCCAGATAGCACACAATATCCGTGGTATATCCAGTCAATATCCCATTTAAGTCGCATGTCCCGGGACTTGTGAAGGATATTCTTAGGATATACGTTAGCATATATACTAAGGAGACATTTTATTGCCAAAGTTTTTGTGCACATCTACATCGACGTCAGTGCTCGCGGTCGTGCCGTGCCGGACTCGCTTGAGTCTCATCGGCTTCTCCTCCGTCCCGTCGTCCGCCATCTTTTCAGCCTTGTTTTTGTGACGGTATAAAGTATACTACGACTTGGCGTCTATTTTGAGTATTTTGTGTGCTGTGCTTACTGCTTTCAGTGCTTTCATTTCAGTAATTTTTTTGTTGTGTGTATGTAAAGCTTTATGGTAATATATAAAATAAGATTTGATAAATTCTAAGCTGAACGAACCATTGTTGTGTACTCTGTCTACCAACATCATGCCTTTTTTTCTATTATTTGTTAGATTAATGAGATGACAAGGCGGCTGCAGCAGTTAAGAGTTTGTAAAACAAGTTCTGACCCTGCTGAACTCAAATGAAGTTGCAATGAAATTTAATTGATTGGGCATGAAGAAAAAGGAGAAATTTTCAAAGTTAAAATTAACGAAATTAACTAAGTATGTGTTATGTCTTTTAAAAATAAATGGGACGTAAATGTAATATAAATAAAGTATAAGAAATATAATTTATAAAATATATATTATGGTGATTGCTTAGTTGATACTTTTTTTAAGAAGTGATTGCTGGACCGCGTTAAGCTAAAACTGACTTTTTTGTAACCTATATACGTTTTAGTTTACATATCTTTTTTGATTCTAGACTTTTCGTATCTTATTGCTTAGTTTTTGAAAATAAAAATAACATAAAATTAATGTTAAAGTTAAATTTAGGCATACAAAACAAAACTAAGTAAGCAATATTGGAGAAAATCCCCCAGAACAAAATTATACTTTTAGTTATATAGTATAGTTAGTATATGTTTTTTTTTTAAATGGATGCAGGAATCACCATGCAAAAACCAAGCATTAATTTTAGGAATAGCCGTTCATAAAGTCCAATTTTCACATTAAAATGGTT